TAACACCTATCACTGTGTATATCACCATTCAAACATCTTTTAAAAGTTGAACAAACCCCACACAGCTCAGTAAACACTGTGAAATGTTGACTTTATTTGATCATTTCAGTCAAAACTAACGTTCATATTTCTCTTTTTGATTATAATACTGATGAACGTTCAAAACAAAGCACTTTGGCAACTTACCACATACGTTTTAAAATGCTTAATAAGCACTGTAACTTTCATGATATCATTTCTCTGTCATAATCGGTTGTTTCCGTGAATGGCCGACTGTTGTGTGACGGCAAATGCTGCGGCCGCAAGGCATTATGGGGCAGCATGTTCTCCTCTCCTTTCGGTGAGGGAGGTCCAGTGGTTCCTAAGCTAAAGGAGGTTATAAAGGAAGTTTGAAACCTCCTTTCCTATCATCTAGAGCAGTGTTTCTCAAACTTTTTCATACCAAGGACCACTTAACCAATAAAAAAACACTCGCAGACCACCTAACTCCACAAATATCCGAAAACACATCGTTTTTTACAAATCGCCTGAAAATTGTACAAACACGTGGCAACATGTGTGATGAAGGTGTTTATCTGGGTTATATCATGCAATCGAAAGTGAAACTTAAGCTCGCTCCATTGCGGAGATATTCCCGCGAGAGTGCGGAAAACTTTAATTAATTAATTAATTAAAAATGTGAAATGTTACCAATATACTCACGGACCACTAGGGGGCGCTCACGGACCACCAGTGGTCCGCGGACCACACTTTGAGAAGCACTGAATTCTAGAGAATTCGAACGGCACTTATCATGGCTGCCACTGAGGGACTTCCGGGTCATTTCACTCGGTTAGGAAGGTTCCTAAGCTAAATGGACTATTCGACTGCAGCCTAACTCTCAGTGTGTGTTTTGCTCCACTCACCGGTCCGTCACAGCGGGTGGAGCTGCAGGATTTCTGCTTCACACACGTTGCATACCGCTATTTTATTGTCATTTTTGGACACCTTCAAATACTGCCAGACAGGTGAAACCATTTTGGCGAGCTTGTTTTGCCGCGCACTGAGAAAAGTGTCATGTATTTTACGTCATCATTTTACAGTCATGCGATCGGCTCTTGCGATCGGCTCTTGCGATCGGTTATGGCTAGAAAGGATCCGTCTTGTGTAAATATGACGTCACGTTCTCGTTGTAACTCTCGTTGTAATCGGAGCGGCTCGGAAACACATCTACAGCAGTAACATGCAACATACACATTAATGCAGCAGCAATATTAATAGAGAAACATCAGACATAATAGTAAAACATTGAAAGGGAACATTTTATTGCACCAGGAGCTATCTTGGGACTTTTACTGAGACAACGTTGACTTGCCTGTGAATACAAAATAAACCATGGTGTTGGTGATCTGCAGTGTTGCCGTTCTTCTTCTACAGCAAGACCGCTAACACCTAATTTCAACAATCACACTCCCTGTAATTGACATAATTAATAGATAGTTTAGCTTCTCACCATCATTTGCTGTGGCCCACTGATATTAAGGATCGTAACTGAAAGGCTGCCTGCCAAACGTAAACATTCAGCCACGTGACTTGCGAACTCTCGCGAGAGTTTTACACAAGACAGATCCTTTCTAGCCATAACCCTCGCGATCGGCATTTTTAGAGAGCACCGATCGATCGGCAGAGAGTGAGTATCGGCCGATATCGATCGGAGCATCCCTAGCCCTTACACTGAGGTGAACTAATACCAACATGTCTAATGGCAAACTCACATGTGTACTAGAGAGAGGTTTTTTATTTTCAATAAATCAGTTACCAAGTTAACACTAACCGTTTTACAGGCATGCATAGCAGGAGGAATTGACCACCCTCTTTGGTGAAAAATGCAGAAAACATTTATTTAACCCTGGCATTCCAAGAGGAAAAATTGTTGCAAAACAGAAGAAATGTGGCAGTCATGAAAAGTTATGAAAATGTTCTAGACAAGCAGAAAGCTCAACAGTAGCTTAAAATATGTGCAACAAAATACACCATCTGATAAACCACTGTTCATGCCCTCATAGTCCCTCCTTTATCTTTATCGCACACATTACAGAGGATCTGCTGTGATATTTCCGTGAGTTTTGATAACGAAGGTGTGTATAAATGGGATCTCTTTGGCTACCATGTTGTAATGCGTGAATCCATCATGACTCAGCTCTGAACTGTCGTAAACCTGACTCATAAGATAAGTGTTCTGGGAGAGGCCCGTCGACCTTTGAGCCGACGACTTTGCTGTCACTGGGGACAAAACTAACGCACTTGTAAAGGTTGTAAATTCAGTAACTTTAGAATATGATTAGAGTTTTTGAAAAGTTGGGGTAGACCATAAATGTATGCGTTTGCACTAAACCGGTCTTGATCTGATCATATTAGTTATTATCTATTTATGCAACATTATTGTATAGCTGCCTTTCTTAGTTGAAAGGTAGAAGCGGACTTTGAAACCAAAGATGTTTTTGGAGAAGTGAGGGTACTACCAATGAGGCATGAAATACATTCCAGAAAGTCCAGGGGGAGTTTATGATTAATGAGTTTCAAGGCTTGACACTACAAAGACTCCGAAAACAGGGTTGCAATACTATAGGACAACATACTACACTATAGGATTTAACAAAACCTGAAAAACCGTCTTGTAAATAAACAATAGTTTCATCTTTTTCAGGACAATGCATTGCAGTGTCAATGCAAGGGTTTTTCAGCAAAACAACACAGGAATGGGCAGAAGGTTAACTTGACACAACTTTTACAAAAGCACAATTAGACGCCCAACCAATCAGAACACTATCTGTTTACCTCGTAATCTTTCTGAAATAAGATAAAATAAGGAATTGCGTGGGAAAGAAAGATTATGAAATGGTAAAATTGCATTTCTCCAACTGGACTAGTTGCGTTCTATTTATCAAATCTGTGTTACCTGAAGCAACACGCCCCACCAACCTTGTGTATTTTTCTAATTGGGAGCTATTTTCAGTCTCAATGACCGCCAAGTCTCTTGAACATCTGACCACACCCAGCTGAGATGCTGCTGCTGCTACTTTAGCACCAAGCTACGTCACTGGTGCACAGGGTGAAGAAAAAGGCATGTCGTGGCAAGGAAGGTCAGACTTAGATGTAAGTCTTTGAAAGCAGGTATTGTATCAGCAGTAGGATAAAAGCTTTTCAATCCCTGTCAGAGAAATTAGTGCAATAATGAAAAGCTGGGATAAAAAAAGCCAACATGTTGAATTGTTATTGTTTTGTCTGAAAAGTATTCAAATGATAACAATATAAACCCCAAAGAAGCAGCAAATCCTCACATTTAGGAAGGTGAAACCAGTGAATATTGGCTTGACACACTGATCACCACAATGTTGATTTGCATTGGTCATTTCAGCACTGCATTATGCTACGATTAAAAATGTATGTTATAGTCTTTGAAAGTTTTACATGCCTTGAGGCAAAGCGCTGAATGTGAAATCCACAAGCAGAACTTGCTCATGCTCCCGAAAGATAAATCCAGCGCATAAACCTGGAAGTTAAGTTGAACGACTTCTGCCCACAATCTCAGAGATGTGAGGGGGTATACCAGGGTCTGCAAACGGCTACTGGAGCGTAACCCAGTAACTGCCCTGGCACACTCTCTGAGGCGCAGCTCGCTGTTATCTTCAGGGCAACCTGCCATCCCTGCCAATCACACAGTGAGAGGGGTGGCGGTGCGGGGGAAAGGGGGACTTCCTTCCGAATCCATTCATGCCACTGAGACCACCTGCTGTGCCTGTCAATGGCTGGAGAGAGAGGAAGGGCCATCTCCAGGCTATAAAATAGAGAAGCTTCTCTTGTTCTCTGTGCTGACTGAGGATATCTGAAATATGAGGATTCTCGTTCTCTCATCCAAAAACAAACATTTGTTCAAGTGTGTAACGTTATGACTTTTAACTTTTGGCTGGGACAGAAGAAGATGGAAGTCTCTAATCAGCAAACTGTAATGATACAGTAGGGTCTCATTGGTGCTATGAGGACATTTGAAGAGTATGCAAGGATCCTTAAAGCCTCCAGTTAAAACTCAAGTCCCTGAACCCAGGCCAGCACCACCTGTTAGTGCTCCTCACTCCTCTGCCAACAGCCCTCTGCTTTCCAGCTGTGTGTGTGTGTGTGTGTGTGTGTGTGTGTGTGTGTGTGTGTGTGTGTGTGTGTGTGTGTGTGTGTGTGTGTGTGTGTGTGTGTGTGTGTGTGTGTGTGTGTGTGTGTGTGTCCAGCCAACTGGGTCTGTACTAGCAGAGGGATTACCATGGAGGAGGATTACTGTGGCACGGAGTATATAAGCACCCACAACCAACACATGCACGATTTGGGACAGGGACTATTTGAACACGCACACCAATACAGCTTTATCTGTACTTTATCATCTCACACACATGATTTTTTTGTGTCTACAAATCTGAGGAAGTCCAGTTGAATTGGAAACTAGTGCAAAAGGCTTTAAATGCAGATGTTTTGTCATTTTGGAAGCTTTGTTTCAACACTGTGTGTCTTGCAATAAAGGCCTTTAACAGCTGAGGCCTGCAGCAGCTGATAGTGTGGAGAGAGATAGACATTGGGTGAGGCAGAAAGAAAGGAGTATGGAAAGGAGTTTGAAGTTTGTTACGTGAATTTGAAAGAAAGTCAACACACATTATGTACAATTGGGCTAAACAAGTTACAGAAATGGGAATTGTTTTGTTATGGTGCTTATTCCATGGTTCAAATGGTGCAAATGCAGCTATCTAGCATTGTTCCGGGCGGGTTTCTCATTGTTTTCTCCTCCCACCTAATGAAGGCAAATAACCCCGGGTCCTGCTTCGGGAATCGCAATGAAACCGACTTTTGTTAGAACAAAAAACACCAAGAAAACTCTCCTGATCTCTTTTCCTAAACTTTCCCCGAGTGTCACAGCACAACCAGGCCCTTCTCACACACTTCCAAGACAAAATGCTACTTTTTAGACGAGCACTTCTTACCTTAAAAGCGACCTCTGCAGTTGTTGTGCCTCGGCTACATGCGTCCTGTGATCTTTGTGTTTTCCTGCACGTTTTTATTTCCCGTCGCAGCCCAAAGGAGTGGAATCAGGAGCTCTAAAGTGGAATCTCAGCCTTCCGTCTGTCCCATACCGATAACTACTTCCCCAGCCCAAAGTCCTCCGCTGGGATCCTTTATATTCCTTTAACCGAGAACTCGGGGCAGGGGGACAAAGGGTGCGTAATATGGCGGAGCAAGAGGCCAGCAAAACAGATAAATTATCCAGAAATCACCGCCGGCTGATGGGTCAGCCTGCCCTGAAAGACACACAACAAAAGCCGGACTAGCGCCGAGCAGCCGACGAGGCCAGAGGAGGAATATTGCTGCGTTCAGGGACTCAGATTAGACTCGTACATCTGACTTTCCCAGCTGCAATGGACCTTAAACGTGATTAACACAAACTTTTCTAGGCTTGTGATTCCCTTTAAACAGCAATGCTTGTGAATAAAGTGTCTAGTTGCATGAATACTTTTGAAACAACTATCTCGTAATTCGCCTGAAAGGCAAACATAACAAGAACATCCGAAACGATTACCATATTTTGTGTCCTTGTTTTTGTGATCTTTTCTAAAATATTCCATGAACCTTCACCCAGACCTACAGTTTGGGAACCAGCAACTAAAAGATAGGCCTAACACCTTAAATAATAAAAAGTATTTTGTGAAAATAGTGCTGGAACAGTGGTTATTATTATTTTCACTTCTTGTGTAACAAATACAAATCTGAAACAATTGACCCAAGGGCACATGTTAAATTACTTTACCATTACTTTTTTTGTTGTCTCAGCATAGATCCAAAATGATGTAAATGTTTTGCAAAAAATATAGGCTATAACAAATAATTACAACATTATCCAGGAACACTTACAAAATAAAACCTTGAGAACTTGGTTGAGCAAATGCAGGCTTTTTGTTTATTTGACTAGGTTTTATTCATACATTACGGTTGTAATGTGGGTTTATACCATCATGTTTGACTTTTTTCGATGACCCTTGAACGCCACATGATCTCCTATTGAATGGTTTTTCCCTTGTGTCCAATATGGCCGACATCACTGGCGCCGATTGAAGCACAATCCACCATCTGGCTCAGTGCCAAAAAGACAAAACTGATTTAATTTTGTCACTAAATCAAACCATGTAAAATGTACTTTTAAACTGTGAATTTAGACATCAAAAGCGACGCTGTGTTAACCTTTGAACTCATATTCGCAATGTTGCAGGCATCTGGCGCCCGTTGTGTGAAAAATGAATGGGACTACATTCTTAATATCCTCAGATTAACATTACATATAATCCTGCAGTTAACAGTATGATAGCCCACCTAAATATCTGTCCGCCCTATAACATTTCCAAAAGGGAAAATATAGTGGGCTTGGGCTCATATTATTGCTTTTGACAGTTATATGATTAACACATAATGGGCTGTTTTGGGGTAGGGAAGATCGTGCTAAATGTGCATTTTAAACAAGTGGAAACAAATCTACTAGAATATTACAGCACTGCAGGATCAACATGTGTGGGACTTTATAAGAATTATTCAAAGTGGTTTGCTGACCCCTACTGACTCTAAATGCACTGTGCACAGGAGGCTCTGCAAACTGCACCCAGGGCAGGTCTCCCTAGCACCCCCTGTGGAAAATAAGATATAACACACACACGCGCGCGCACACACACACACACACACACACACACACACACACACACACACACACACACACACACACACACACACACACACACACACACAAACACACACACAGTATGAGTCATTTTCAGTAAATTCGTGAGTACATAAGGCTCCCAAGAGAAAGACATAAATACATAAAATAAAAGCAGACATCAAGAATAACACCATTACCACCACAATTAATATGTAAAAAGATGATACAACAAAAGCAAGTCAAAAACATTTGGGTTTTGAGCGACAACCTCAACGAGTCTCGTTTTGTCTGCAGCTGATCAGAAAAGCACAGATTCCTGCTGGTGATTTGACGCTTCAGTATATTTCTATCTGATGGGTTTATTACTGTGTCACAACCGAATGAAAAAGACTCTGTTTGAGCTGCTTTCATTTAGAAATGTTTCATCTTCAATTAAATATAAACATTTTGGCTTCTTCTCTCAAATATTGTTATGTGATATACAGTCATCTCTTCAGGTCTTTAAAACGAACAAATCTCAGAGGTTTATTCAGACATTTCTCAGACATTCAACCTGCAACAAGGTGGCTGCAATACATGCTTTTTTCATGGAACAAAAAAGGCCGTTATGCACCTATGCCAAGCCCATACTGCAATTCAATAAAACCATCCAATTCAGCCCATATCAGTTGACTAGAATAATCTGAAGTTATATATGACAACATGGTGGATTCTAAATAACACAAAAAGAGGTCTTGATCAAATTGAAAGTACCTTTCAAGCTATTATAATAATAATATGTAAGGATGAGTGGAAAGCAATACGATATTCCAATAAAAAACGGAGGATTAAACATAGCATTAGAGATATTCCACTAAAAATATTTGAGGATAAGGAGAAACCATTCATTGTGTACGTCATTCTCTGCTGGTAAAACACATCAGTTAATGGTTGAGGGTATTGACTCATCTTTTCTCTGAGTGCAGCTGGGATTATTCTCGCGTTTCTCTTCTTGTCCTCATGATGGCGCCGTTTGCTCAGTCTTCCGTCCTGCACCAAGACCTACTGAAACAGGCCTCATGTGAGTGGTCTGCTCGGTTTATAACACATGATGTTTAAATTGTGCTCCTCGAGGGAATCACGCCCCACCATGAAGAAGTTGTGGATAGGCCCCTCCGGCGGTGACTGGCTCTGGGCGTCATTTTGCGTCAGAGTAAACAAAACGCTGACGTGAATCTCTCTTTGGCAAACTCTTCAATCTGTTTGTGAGCTATAGGATTCAGTGAACAGAGCTGAATGAAAAGGTGCATTCACCTCCAGTTGGTGATTAAAGAGAGGGATCGTGCAGGCATACCAAAATAGATTTTTACTCAGGCGTCAACCCTTTCAATGTAAAAGCATCTAACTTGCATCACACACATTCGTTTTATATGCCATGAATATTAATGCCAAGTATATGCTTAACTAAGATATTATATGACTGTATTATTAGCAAATAATAAATAGCATATAAAAGAAAAACCAAAAGCGAAAAGAGGCTCAACTAATTGCCAACAATGTGCCAATTGAGGCTTCATCAGGGAGAATTAGGCCCAAATGCTTCTTGGTTAATTGCCACATGTATACCAGTATAGCTACGAGCTTTTTCTCAAGTTATTCGTTTAAATGTATCAATCAGTGCATTATGCCAATTTCAGAACAATGTTGGGAAAATGAGTGGATCGTTTTTAAAGCCACGTAGGCTGATAGCTCTCTGAACCGGCATCCTGCGTCACCAGCTTCAAATCAGATTACGTGCCTCGTTTATTTCAACAATCCAGCGGATAGGAGGCCTTAGTGCTGTCATTGCACCGCCATTAAAACCACCCCCTCGATATCCAGTCAACAATTGTAGGAAATGATTTGAAAGTGACTGTAAATAGAGAATTTGAGACCTTTGTGTTCAGCACTGGACAGCTCCTGACTCCCCAGAGGCCTTGAACTTGGTCTGTGGATGTCTGATCAACAAAAAAACACCCAGTCACATAATACCAGCAAAACAAGCAAAGGCGATCACTTCCCATCTCTGTCATAATCACAAAACCCTAATTGGATTTATTGGTGACGCGGTGAGGGAAGTATTGATCTGAAATGGTCGTCACACCATCCTGTGCAAAGCTCATGAAAGCACTCACACACATTTCAGTTTTTTGTTTTTTTTACCACATTCTTTTGTTTTAAAAGAAAGAAAGTTTTAAAGTTAACTTCTAACATCTAAGGAGGGAGGGAGGTGGGGGGGGGGGGGGGTTGAGGGTGACGGATGCATCGATGAGGAAGGAACTGTACTTTTTTTATTCCGGGAGGCAAACTTGATGACGTCTATAGCATCCTTAATGTGACATATTGGAGGGAGGAAGAGGAGGAGGGGAGGGGGGGCAAGGCTTAGGATACATAGATAAAAATCCAAGGCAATCACAGCACAGGACAAAGTTTAGAGCAGCGATATGCAGAGGAGCTCACAGCGCACTTTCACACCGGGTTTGTTTGCGTCTGCTTGAGTGCCATTCATTGTGTGTGAAGGTGAGATAGGCTGCACCGAGGGGAACATAAGGAGACGACGGAGGCGCTTCAGCCAGGGAACGAAGTGCCGTGAGAAGGAAACCGTCTCTCTTCCTCTCACTCACCACCACACCCGGATCACATCCTACAGCCTCCCTGCTCCCCTGCTATAGGTATGTGCTTTATCTGCGGATACATCTATTGATGGAAAGCGAGAGAAAGTAATGGAAATTATCTTTTTTTGTATGCACTGCATGGAGATCTGCTTATAATTGTAATTACTTTCCTGCTGCATGCAAAGGATTCAATACCAGTTCAACTTTTACGTTTTTTTTTTTGTTCTGGCAAACGGACGTTGTGTTTGTAGTTTATGTTCATTATTATTCGATCCAGCTTTGTAGTTTGATCAGAGAAGTAGCACAGCATGTTGAATATGACAGAACAAAGAGCATGTTGTTTCTAGGACTGACTAACCTGTTTAATGTTACGCCTGTTTTTTCATTTTTTCTAACAGCATGGCCAGTTCGAGTAAAGCGACTTTAATCTTGCTCGTCTACGGAATCTTAATGCACTACAGCGTCTTCTGCACACCTATCGGACTAAGTTACCCTAAGATTAGGTAGGTAACCGTGCTTCATCAGTCTTTATTACCTGATTGTAGTATTTTATCCATGTTTCTGCCGATCATTATTGTTCAAGAATGGGTTTGCATCGTGAATAATGATATATTTAATTCGAATATTTGGATTTGGGCACTAAAATAACTTTTTCGCAATTTGTAACCACATAATTGAGAGGAATAACAAAAGGAAATACAGTCATTTACACGTATACAGGTCTTCTGTGGAAAATGATTATGGAAATAGCGTAGAGGTTTCTGTCCGGGGGGACACTGATTAAAAATGAGAGTACAGTCAAGCTCTTGGGATGACGGTGGACTGGCGTCACCAAGGAGAGGCGAGGCGAAACGAATAGGAGAGCTCTATCCATTTAAGATGAATTCTTTTTTTTCCTTGTGAAAAACATTCATCATTTGGGCGTGGCTCTTATTGATTCTAATATTTCACTGCTAATTGCGGCATTCTTTTAACACCTCTCCACGCCTACTCTAAATGTGATAATTTTCACACCCATT